TTAGCCTGGAGAAGAGGAGGCTCAGGGGAGACCTCATTGCACTCTACAACTTCCTGAAGGGAGGTTGTGGTAATGGGGGGTTTTGCCTCTTCTCCCAGGCAATGAACAGGACCTGGGGAAATATTGTATCAGATGTTGTACCTGCAGGTTGTACCAGAGGAGGTTTCAGTTAGACGTAAGGAAGAACTTTTTCTCTCACAGAGTGGTCAGGTACTGGAGTGGCTTGCCCAGGGAGGTTGGTGGAGTTGCTGTCCCTGGCAGTGTTCAAGAGGCGTCTGGATGAGGAGCTATGAGATCTGGTTTAGAGGCTTGTGGTAGCAATGGTAATGGGAGGACGGTTGGACTGGATGATCTTGCAGATCATTTCCAACCTTGCAATTCTATGATTCTATGAAGTAGGAGCACTGAACACATTCAATGGCATATACAATATAAAGGATTATCATCTCTCAGGATTTCTGATGCTTTTACCAAAATAGTGATAATTAAAGCCCTTTACTCTCTTTCTCCCTTGAAATTTTGTTTATCATTCAGCTTGAATATATAGACTTTTTGATCTTTTAATCATTAAAATGTTGTGTTTCCTATCTGGACTGTGGAGCACTGCATGTCTTTGCTTTTGAAACAGCGTGCAGGAAGATGTTTGGTACTTTCATGAAGTATAGGCTCCTCTTCAAAAGCTTTATTGAAAATCAAGATGTGGATAGGATTGAATTTTTGAAGGGAAATGCAGTCTTAACTGTAGATTCAGCTTGAAGTAATTCTAAAGCTGTATTTAAAGTGGAAGCTTTATATTCTTTTGGGTAATTTCCCATTTTCTCTTTCGTTGTAGAAGGGAGAGAGGAAGCTTTTTCAATCAATACTTAAAGCTTTTAAGTAACTGTCCTGGTTTTGAAGTGAAATAACAGCTATAAGTCATACCTCAAAATGTAAAAATCTTTGAATGCAATTCTAAGTGTTTTTTTCTCAACTCTGTCCTTAAAAAAAAAAAAAAAGGGGGAGGGAAATGGGAGGAAGAGAAAGGGAGGGATATGATTGCAAGAATTCTGTATTTTCTGCTGATCTTCTCAAGCAGCCAGAACCTTGATATCTCTTCCCTCTTCTGTTCCTAATTAACTGAGGTTTTGGAGAAACTTCACAAAATTAGCTTGCAGTTCTTATTTTAACAAGTGTGTGTGTAGAGAAACTTAATGTCTCTTGTGATGGCATACAATAAGTGAAATAAGGAATACTTACAGCAACAGTCTGACAGTGTTTTTGTAATTGGATTACTGAAACTTTTTTTCTGCCCAGATGTCTCCATTTGGCAACCTTGGTGTCATAAGACACAACAGTGGCTTAATTGATTTTTTCCCCTGTTCTTCTCTTTAATCAATTATACAGTGCATCCTTTGTACCCACATGGAAAATACAAATAGTATCTTAGGGTTCTAAGTGCTCTGGTAAAATCGGTTGGTATAGTTAGAGGGGTAAAGAATGCTTGTTTGATTTGTCTTTTATAACTTATTGTCAATATGTTATAATATTGTGTTATTATTGTGGATCTTCAGGTTTATTTTCTTTTCTAAAAGTGTTTTGAAGGTTGCATTTTTTGGCTAAGCTAGTGATTAGAACTAAAAAAACCCCAGCTTTATATGATATCTGTTACCTAACAAATCTGAAAGTAGGCATAATAAAAAGTAGTGTTTTTTCATCTAATGCTGCTAGATCTAATATTCTTAGATATTGTACTTACTTTAATATTTGATATGTATATCAAATTTATTAAATTAAAAAAAAATCTGTAATATGCTATTACCATGAAATAAATTGAAAGGTATTTCTGTAATGATCCTCCAAGCTGCATTTCAGATGCCATGTTGTAAGAGCATAGAAAACATGAACATATCCCTTACATTCTGAGAAACAGCAGCAAATTTTGTCATTTCTTTGGGAAGACTTTTTTCCCTTCTAATAGGATTTATTGGTAAAATTTTGTTTTTATCTGATCATCACATCTAATACTTTGGAATGCCCTCAGTTATTCATGTTCCATAACTGCAGTTGGAGTTGTTAACCTAATTATGCCATTCCATTACTCTTTCTTGCTTTTTCCTTTGAAATTCTAAGCAACTTATTCTTGAATTTCATATGTACCAGACATTAACCTTAGTAAGGTTTGAGTGTATTGCATAATACCCTTGTATATCAGCATCATAACATAAGTGATAATTAGAATTGTGCATTGCCTTTGTGGATTGAAAGTCAGACCTTAAAATTCTTCAAGGTTATAGGCTGTAACATTCACTGCTTTAAAGATAAAAACTGTTTTCTTCTCTACTTTTGGTGGTTTTTTTTTTTGTTTGTTTGTTTGTTTGTTTTTAATAGTAATTTCCTATCATTAT